GGGAGCCCAGTGCTAACTGTGTAATTTATCGTTCTAAGAGGCTGGTATTAATGTCTTCATTTTAAAGATTACAGGACTGGGACTCACTGCTTCCCCTGTTCCACTGCCTTTCAAAATCTACCACTCCAGAACCTGGGGGCCGTGTCCCCTGCAGTGACAGAGCACCTTTTGGTTTTACTTATCAGTGTGTAAACATGACTGCCTATATCCAAAAAATATTCACAACACGTTCCCCTCATAAGGTTAGACATTCTATGTTTCATCCTTAAAAATGTCCTTACTCTTCTCCAGTTTTACATTTTCCACAGAGGATTAAATACATCTACTGTCAATTTCTTTAAGAGTACTTCAATACTTTCTCATCAATTAAAAAAGTCATTAAAGTAACATACCTGTAAATGAAGAGGACTGAGAATGTATTGAGCCCTTGTTAAGCATAGTCATTATCTGACCAACAAATTCCTTAGGAATGAAATTGGCATAAGGCAGAATCTCAGTGCTGATGAGCTGAACCACCTACAACAAAAGGGGACATTCAAATGCTTGTTCTGTCCTTGAAAGAGATTGATTCAAGCCATAATTTCTAGAGTAAAATTAAAAATAGATTTTAAGACAAAATCAGTTAAAGAATCCTCTTTGACAGAAGTACATGTACATTTTAAAGTTAATTTACATACAAGGTGGCTACTATCTGCTTCCCTCATCTGTCAAAACGAGTCCTTTTGAACTACTGTTGAGAATTTCATAGGCAGTCTATACAGCTGGCTAAATACAGATAATTCCAAACAACCCACTGATCAGTTTGGACCGCAGACCATTCTCAAATATGTGCTCCCTGACTGATGGATTTCTTTCACTGCTTTTTAAACTTCCTAAATGGACAGAGTCAAGTTTGTGGGGGGGCCACACACCACACAGGCCCTAACAGACCCAAGGGAGTCATTGTTAAAAGGTCAGTGCCTTTACAATTCAATATTTGACTTCCACAAGTTGTAATGCTTTTAGGTTCAACCTTAACCTATTAACTTATTCTTTGAGCTATCTTATAGTTTTCACATTTCCACTCTGCTTTTCATAAACGGTCCCAGGAAAATGTTTTAAGTAGTTTCCTCACCTCAACATCAATACTTTCGTTTCTTTGAAACTCTTGAATAGAGAGATTATCAGGAGGTATGCTAAAAAAAAAAAAAAAAACAATTGATTTTTAAAGGTAAAATATTCCCTGAAAATATAAACAAAAAGTAAACAATATTCAAATGACAAAAAATTATATTTTCTTAGCTAGGTTGGGACATTATTTTTTATTTGAAAGAATATTTTTAATTAAAGCCATTAGTTTAAATGACTAAGCTAATTACAAACATGATACTCTAATTACAAAAACACTTGGCCCAATCCTTAACTAAATAAAATCTGTAGAACTACACTTCAATACTATGAATAAGAAAAAAAAGAAAAGGTATTATATCACACCACTGTGGCAAAAATTATCATTGTGATGACACCTGAATTCATTTATGTTGGTCATGATTTAAGAGAGCCTTAGTCAAGCTGAATTATTCCCTCAGAGAGGGTCCATTAATCATTAATTTACAATAAATACAAAGCATTAAAGATTTTTACAATAAAGATAGAGGACATCTTCAAAGAAGAGGATGGATTCAGATTTTCTAAAACAAAAATTATTCCAGCAAGAGCCAAGGAAATCAACAGTTCTGGGGAACCCAGGCGGACTCCAGACGCTGTAGCTCCTAATAGGAACAAGGAGTCAATGACCATCAACTTATACAGCAGCAAAGTATTAACTGTCTTAAATAGCTGAGAGCAGGTGGTAATGATTCTCACAATAATGACAGCTGCCTTGCGTGAGACAGCCATGTGGTCAGAGCTGTATTTGACTCATCTCAGATGACACAGCAGTGCCCAGGTAGCAATTACCACGGAGTAACAGAAGCAGCTGAGGGCAGAATGGCCAACAGCCTGCCAAGGACACACCACGAGCTAATGCTTGGCCACAGCTTGAACCCGAACTTACCTGATACTTGAGCCTACATTATTCTCTTTAATGTTGTTGATATAAAAATAATATGAACACATTCAGGTTGAGAAGTATAACACATGATTTTGTAGGCAGTGCTATATGGGTACCAGCCCCTGGTTGGCTTGACTGAGACATTCTTCACTCAACAAATATCTCCTGAGTTCCAACCACTTTTCATCAGGTACTAGATTAGTGTTTAAGATCAAGCAGTGAACAAAATGGACTTAGTTCATGTTTACAAAACTTAACATCTTGGTGTCCACACCCCAGACTAACCACGATCTGGTTACAGAACTAGAGGAAAAAATTTACAGACATATACCCAAACCTAAGCTAATGTAGGGATTTCACTACCCCTATCAAACAGCTTCACAGATACACCTAGGTCTCTACAGATAAAAGTTATGTTTAATTTTAATTTCTAACCAAGTAATCTGTTTAGTAATATTAAAAGATTTGTGAGGTTGGTGGAGGTAACTAAGGATGGGCTGATTATTAACAAAAAATAAATGAAAACCTTATTAGGAACATACACTAATAGTATTATTTGGGTCATCTATAAGCAACACTGAACTGGATTATTAAATGTCTTATGACGAGGGAAAAGAGTAGTATACAAAACTAAAACTGAGACTCACTCCTGGGGGGCACCTGTGGCTCAAACGAGTAGGGCACCGGCCCCACGTACCGGAGGTGGTGGGTTCAAACCTGGCCCCAGCCAAAAAAAAAAAAAAAAAAAAACTGCAGAAAGACTTACTCCTTTTAATGCCAATGACCCACAAATCAAGAAATTGTTCAATTGTGTATAGGATGAGTATCCTGATGCCAGGACCCAAACTAATGTTATTTTATACTATATTTTATGCTTTTAAAAACACTTTTATTATTTTATTGACAAGGTCTCACTCTGTTGCCCAGACAGGAGGGCAGTAGCATGACCACAGCTCATAGCAACCTCAAATGCCTCCGCTCAAGTGATTCTCCTGCCTCAGTCTGCTCTGTAACTAGGACTGCAGGTGCATGCCACCACACCTGGCTAGTTTCAGTGGTTGATTGTAGAGATGGGGTCTCAGTATGTTGCTCATGCTGGTCTTGAACTTCTAGGCTCAACCAATCTTCCCACCTCAGCCTCCCAAAGATATGAGATTACAGACATGAACCACTCCACTTGGCCTATTTATTTTAATTTATACTTAGTATTCTTACAGAATCATATTAAAAAATATGGGCTGAGCTTTAGAAAATGGTGATGGTTAACAGAATTTGCCAATAAATTATAAGGGGAGATGGTCAAATGGGCCACACAAGATCTTTAAATTCTCTAGTTTTGAAAAGTGCAGAAGTAATTTGTAAAATTCTTTTCATTAATTTTTATTTAAAAAAATTTTTAAAAGGCTTCAAACTGACAAAGTATTATTGGTATTTTTTTGTCAGTTTTCTCTGTATAGTATAATAAAAATGTTTTTATTGTGCTATAACTTACACTAAACTCACCCTTTTAAAGTAAACACTTTAGTGCACTTTAGCATGTTCATAAAGTTGTACAACCATCACCATTTCTAATTCCAGAATATTTTCATCACACTCAAAAGGTACCATGTACCCATTAGCAGTCACGCCACACTGTCCCCCTGCCCTCACCCCTAGGAACTGTGACTATTTCCTTTCTGTACGGGTTTGTCTACTGTGGCTCATCGTGTACACGACATCACAGGACACAGGCCCTGGCGTTGGTTTCTTCATGTCATGCCATATTGCCCATCTGCATCTAGCTAGGCCTCAGTTCTGCATTCTTTTTCCTGACTGAATAATCTTCCACTGTATAGATATACCACATTTAATTCATCAGCTGATCGACATTTGGGTTGTTTTCATGTTTTTTGGCTATTATGAAGAATGCTGTAATGAATATCAATGTCCTTTTTTTTTTGCAGTTTTTGGCCTGGGCTGGGTTTGAACCCACCACCTCCAGCATATGGAGCCGGCACCCTACTCCTTTGAGCCACAGGCGCCACCCAATGTACAATCTTTTTTTAATGTATAAGGTTTTGTGCAGACATGTGCTCTTAACTGTTTTCAGTAGTACTAATTTTTTTTTTATTTTGGGGGGGGGCAGAGTCTCACTTTGTCCTTCTGGGTAGAGTGCTGTGGTGTCACAGCTCACAGCAACCACAAACTCTTGGGCTTAAGCAATTCTCTTGCCTCAGCCTCCCAAGTAGCTGGGACTACAGGCACCCACCACCATGACCAGCTATTTTTTTGTTGTAATTGCTGCTGTTTAGCAGGCCTGGGCTGGGTTCAAACCTGCCAGTCCTGGTGTATGTGGCCAATGCCCTAATCACTCAGCTATGATTATTATTTTTAATGTAAGGTCCAAAGGTCACTAATTTTATGACTCCTCATTAGACCAATGTGTCTCCTAAAGGACAACTAGTTCCATGTTTTGGAACTCAAAGGTTGGCTGAATACATTCCTAATAGACCTCGAGTGTCTGCCAAATTATAGAGCTTACGTTTTTCAACTTTGGGTTTTTCTTTCTCTTGTCTCAAATTATTTACGTATGATAGCTCTCAGTAATGTCAAAAGGTTTTCTTTTTTTTCCTGAGTCTCAATATAAGGTATATTTTTACTATTCCACATAGTAGAAAGCTTAAATCTGTAATTAGAATAACCACAACTTAGAATCCTGTGTTACTTGATAGCACAATTTAGAACCTTTTTTTTTATATTATTTTTTTTGCAGAGACAAAGTCTCACTTTATGGCCCTTGGTAGAGTACTGTGGTGTCACAGCTCACAGCAACCTCCAGCTCCTGGGCTTAGGTGATTCTCTTGTCTCAGCCTCCCAAGTACCTGGGACTACAGGCACCTGCCGCAACACCTAGCTATTTTTAGAGATGGAGGTCTCGCTCTGCCTCAAGCTGGTCTTGAACTCCTGAGCTCAAGCAATTCATTTGCCTCGGCCTCCCAGAGATCTGGGATTACAGGTATGAGGGGTCCACATAAGGAGCCACCATGCCTGGCCAGGAAAAGAAATTCTTAATGAAGTTTCACTTAAAACAAGAAAACAAAGAAGACCCAAAACACTTACTCAGTTTGTTAATAGAGGCATCATGCATATACAGACAGGTAATTAGGAAAGAAAAAGAATAAGGTTAAATTTCTTCATATTTGATACAAATTAATAGTGATTTGGGCTCTGAAGTCCACAAATGAACTCTAATTTTCATGGTTACTATAAAGCAAGGGAGTTGCCGTAGCTCAGTGAATAGGGC